TGTGTGTGTTTGAGGGAGGATGATAGAAAAATGTGGGTAATAAAGTATCATTTGTTGACATTAGTTTATTCATTACCTAACATGAGCTATCATTAATTGACATATTTACAGCATTTATTAATCTATTAATATTAGTTATTAAAAATGCAGTTGTTCATTCTTCGTTAGTTCATTAATCTTTAGATTTTAAAAATGTGTTTATAGCATTAAGATTAATAAATGCTGTAGAAATGTGTATTGTTAGTTCATATTAATCAAAGTGGTTATTGTATATAACTAATTATAGTTATTAATTATTGTGGTTATGTTATTTGTATTTATTTTTTTATTAGTTTTTGTTTTTTAAACACTACTATTTAGCTATATTTTTCCCAGTTAAAAAAATTATATTACTTCAACATATTTCATTTAATTGCCAAGACAACATTTGTAATTTTCATTGAAGTTTAGCTAGACAAGTTTACTGCTTAGTTGCTTTTGCAGCTTACACATCTGTCATATCAGCTTAACCAACATTCTGTTATACATGCAGCAGCCCAGACAGTATCTGGACTGAAAACACTTACAAATGTTTGGATGTCATTTAATTGGACAATAAAAGCAAGTGTGGTTTATTATCTAATCACAGTCAGATGGTTTAAAGTTTGAATTAAGTGACCAAATACATTGGTATTTTTTGAGGTTTGATTTGCATACAGGTGACAGATTTGAATGTCAGTTGAGCAAAAACACATGTAACACACAGAATATTCTTTCTAGAAGATCACAGAAGCCTGTGTGTCTTACATATGAGTGTTCAGACACACACACACACAGAGGGTTCATTGAAACTCTCAGGGCTGAATATTTGAAATGTTTGTCCTTGACATTCCCACGCTCTCAAACACACACACATTATCTTTAGTTTAGCAGGCAAACCCTGAGAATTAGATACATTAAATTCTTTCCCACATTACAGTTCCACACACTCCACATCACTGAACCACAGCAGCTAATGTGGATGATCAATAGGTGTCAGTGTTGTGTGTTAGATACTCTGTGTGGAAACAGATGTCGCAATGTGATTGGTCTGTGTGGTGGTGATGCTCATGTGTTTGTAATCTTCAGATGAGAGACTGTGAGTGAGTATAATGGCTGATTATGGTCTAAGGCAGCTGAAACAGGAAAGATATTCATCCATAATGTGTCTGTGAGGGGAATTATTGTGCTTCACTAACAGTCTGGGTTGAACTGTGTGTCCCTTTCAAAGATTGACCATGATGAAAAACAGTTTCCACCAAAATACTACAGTTTATTGACAAATGACATAGAATTTAACTGTTTCAATATCAAAATTTTTGTGTATGTTTATAGACACTGTAACCGGTTACCATTTTTGACCACATTTTTGATCAGACTAGTTTCTTTAAATGGTCCTGGAATGTAACATATTTTAAAAGTTTAAATATTTCATGTAGTCTTGCAATTTTTGTGAACTAATGAAAGCTACAGTACATGCAAAATAATCATAATAACACTTTACAATGAGGTTTCGTTTGTTAAAATAAGTTAACTACATTGGTTAACATTAACTGAAAATTAAATACTTCTAAAGCATTTATAAATATTATTTGTTAATTTCAACAGACTAATTAATTATTTTAAAAAAATTGTCTGTTAATATTTAATGGACGTGAACTAGCAATGAATAATATTTTTTATTAACCAAACCTAAAGATTAACAAATACCATAACAAATGTATTCCTTAGTGTTATTTAATGGTAGTTAATGCATCAACTAACTAATGGGACCTTATTGTAAAGTGTTACATATACATATGTAACATGTAACTTACCATTATTATAATAAAAGTAATTCTAATAAAAAATCCCATAATGAATAAATATTTTGGTATTTATTCATAAAGCCAAAAAAAATTTTATTACATTTTATTTAAATAATAATAATAATAATAATATCCTAATTTATGTAAATCATCATAATAAATTTAAAGTGTTTATGTATATATAAAATTAGTTTAATTTATATTAATACATTTAAGAAGTTTAAACTTAAGGAATGTTGCTTAGCATAGTTACAGCAATGGATAAAGATAATTCATAAGATTATTAATACTGTATATATTTTTTTAAATATGAAAGCAGTAATAAAATATAATAGGTAATAAAATATTAATAAAACCGTATAAAATAGTATTGTAATATAGTAATAGTATAAAATAGTAATAAAAGGTAAACATAAATAGTTTAAATGGGTTTTAAGGAAATTTTAAATTATAAATCATTTAATAAAAATATTTCATGAAATCTGGACAAGTTTCATTTATATTTGTCACTTTGAACACTAAATTGAAATGTAATGTCGACCAGCATAGTGCAGTTAATGTTACAACTGTAAAACTGTAATAAATAAATATGATATCTCTTCAAACAGGAGAATGTAACCATGATATTTTGGTGGACACTGGAAAACAGGAGTGAAATGCCTATTATGTGTTATAAAAAAGAAATCTTAATTTTAATCATCTTTTTTTAAGTGATGTGATATGTAATAATATATGTAAAATATAATAAGCAGCAGGGATAAAATCTCTCCAGATCAGTGCGCTGTTCCTGTACCGCACCTCATGGTGGTGTGTGTGCACTGCAGACAGCTCTTGAGTGTGTGTGTGTGTGTGTGTGTGTGTGTGTGTGTGTGTGTGTGTGGTGTAGGTT